CGCACCTCGGCGTGGTGTAATGTTTAGCGAGCTTGTCTCGCTAGATCAGTTACGACTGAAAAGTAAGTTCGATCCTCACTAGTTACCCCACACTTCGGCATTGTGCCACATCTAAGCTACGCTTAGAAAATTAGGGCACCTCGGGGCGATGTAATGGTTAGCAAGCATGTCTCGCTAGAACAATTACGACTAAATAGTGAGTTCGATCCACACTGGATGCTCCCTACATTCGGCCTTGTTCCACATCTACGCTTGGAAAATCGCCATAACTGGCTGACTGCTTCTTGGACTGTCTTCTTTTTTCTTTTCTTTTTTTCCGGGCTGTCTGTTCTGTTGTTAACTTTAATATTGTATTTCTTCAATATCATACGGTTTAAAAAAAACTAAAAGTAGATTTTTTTTTTGTAAAATCAAAATTTTAAAAATATGCCTATAGAAATAGCATTGATGAAATAAATTTAAAATAACGGGCGCCAAAGGACAAATGAAATTAATTTTCTGAAAGTTTATTGAAAAACAAAATCAACCACTCGAGAATTCCTTCAACATTTCTTTATTCCCTTAGTAACAGTTGAGACGATGTCCGTTCCGAAAGCCGGTCGCTCGAATTTTGCGGTGAATTGACGCTCTCTAGAAATGGAGGAAAACATGTCGATTCTAGCAGAAGGAAGGAAGTTCTAATGTTCAATTATTGCAGAATTGAATCGTTGTGTACATTTTACCCATTTTCTTGTGTATTTCGAGCGTAGACCGAGTGGTGTCGTGTACGACACACGCATAGAGTGTACTGATCGGTGTACGTTCCCTGCTTTACGGTGAGTATTAAATGACCAGTTGACTTAAAATCAGAAACGTGTGTACACTTTTTTTTCCTTGGTGTTGGTTGCTTTCGAAGTAAGTCTTCAACTTTGTGTCGGGTAGAATTAATAATGTGATTTCGAGTACTATGATGTGTATTTATTTCGTGCAGTGTTCATATTTGTAGTGTAATACTAGTGATAATTCATAAGTTCAAGATTCTTTTATTTTTTTCGCTTTAAACTTGAAAAAAGAACTAAAGTGCCTTTTCTTTGGAAGTGATGTTTAGTTTACGAGTGAGCGTCATCCGCTTTTAAAGCTTTTTGGATTAAAATAAATAATCGGCTCTTAACAGTAAGCTTTACGTGGGTGTTAATCATTATTACTTAGGTGTGCTTTTTTTGAGAAAAATAAGCTCTACGAAAAGTTTACTTATTTTTTTTTTTAGGGTCAGTCATTACAACAGAACTGTTGCTGTCAAGAGAAACATATGAGCCGAGTATTGTTTTTGTTGGTAATTTTTTTTCCCACGCCTCATATAACAAACAACCCACGTTAGTTTGTTTTATTATTTATTTCGTCCACCTTACTGCACAAATTTGGTTATCGAACGAAAATCAAAGAATATGAAAGGAAAGAAAAATAAATAAAAACAAACTTTACATGATAACAGAAAAAATAATTAAATTGAAAGATTACTGAACATGGTCATGTTTCAAGTTTCACATGACTACTTTTAGGCAAAGCAAGAAATAGATTTTAAAATTTCCTGTTGATTACCAAATACTTTTTTCCTAAAAGATAACAGTAACACTAACTAACAGGGTGTGGTCTTATTAAGAAGAAAAACATATTAAAATTTGTTGTGCTTTATCGTCCCTAAAATAAAATTTAAAATAAAATAATTTAAAAAATACCATGTTATGGAAGGTAAATGCAAGAAATGTATGGAAACTGACTAAAAAATGACCTTTTCTAAATGTCTATTTATTTTATTTATTTTGTTTCTGTCGTTTCTAGTTACTAAATGTCTCTAAACGCGTGGGTGGATAATGGCCACTTAACCAAAAATCATCTACAAAGGAATATAAAAAGACAAGTAGTACTTTGTTATTGTTGTTGTATCTAAGAAAAAAGAAACCATTGCTATCATACCGAAATTGATTCTATAGTACTTTTTTTAGTCAATCTTCAAAGTTAATATTCGCGTCATACATTTTCTTTTCAGTTATTGTACAACTGAACTATCACCTTTTCTTTCATTTTTTTATTCATTCATTATTGTCATTTTTATTTTAACATTCATAATTCGTGGTTGAATTTAAAATTAAGTTTGCGGTTTGCCGGTTATACTCCATAGTTTTCAAGTACGTGTTTAAAAAGTACTTGTTTGTTTGACTCATTACTGACTGCATCCATAACAATTGGCAAGTAAATCAAGGATGCCCTTTTGGTGCTGTTCCGATTTAAATTAAATAAATTGTTATTTTTTAGGTTCAGCAGCTATGTGCAAAATCACTCGCTTTTTAAGTTTTTTTTTTATGTCTGACACGAAAAGAAAAATTAATAAACAGACCCTTAAAGGTAAGGAGTTTCTTTTTCATAAAATTAATACAAATAAGGGTTCTGCGTTAAGGGTTTTTTTTACTTTTTTATATGAGAAAAGAACTGAATGGCGGGCAATAAAATCAAAAGCACTAATAAACTAAGATTTTACCTGGTACGTACATTCAGTTTACTTTTCTTCAGCCATAATTTCTTGTTTTAATTTTAAATGTCCATAGAGTTCTGTACAACTAAAATTTACAATGTCGCTTGCATCTAAGTTTTAGTTTTTTGCAGTGGTTCGTTAGAGATTCGATTCTTTTAGGAACAGATTCTTTCTTCCTAAATAAACGTATTTGTTTATGAAATTAGACACCAGTTCTCTCTCTCTCTCTAACATACCCCAAACAAAAGGGAATTTAAGAACCAGTTCTGCAGACTTACTAAAAACGCTATTCCATCACTCGATTTTGAAGATACAAATTACAAAAACTTTTTAAAAAATTGGTGAGTTTTCTTCACTCTGCCATTTAATTTCCAGCTGAGTTTCTGATTTCAAAGAAATACATTCAAGTGACTGAAACAGTACACATATATTGCCCTTTGTAAAGTCTGTGGAATTACTACATCAAAATTCTAGTTTTACTCCAACTTTTTTTTTATTTTATAGTTTTTGTACTTTATAAACAAAATTATATTACCGTATCTGATGACATATGTAAACAACCAACTGCCACAATTTTTGTATTTTCATACAAAATAAATATCTGTAAACCACCAGCTTTACTCCACCCCACATTTTTTTAAATATTGTTTATCAATATAAGGCCCCAAAATCACTCATTGTAGAGAAGGTTACTTTTTAATGGAAGGAAATAAGATGTGCATATTATGGTGACTTTGTGACAAAAGATCGAAAGTATGGGGAACCCAGTGAGGGTCGAACTCCCTACTTAGTCATAATTGATCTAACAAAACAAACTTGCTCACCATTACACAACGTCGATATGCCCAGGTTATTTTCTAAGTGTGCTATAGATGTGGCACAAGGCAAAAACTGTGAAGCATCCTATTTAGATTAAACTCATTACTCAGTTGTAATTGATCTAGCAAGACAAATTTGCTATCCATTACACCATGCCGAGATGCATATTTTGAGGATATGTAGGTTAAATAAATTGAAGAGGAAGAGTGTATTAATCAGGGAAGCAGCCTTTCGGAGTCTGTACCACAGTGTAACAGCTCTGGAGAAGAAGCTGAGTAGAACTTCTGCCTTATCAATGTCTAGCCAGCTAATGTTTACCCAGATGTCTTAGGCTACCAGTATTTTTATCTAGCTTAACTCAATATTATATTAATATTGAATGTAAATAGAGATGGTTGAAGTATCTGGTCAGTTAATGTTTACCCAGACACTGTATACTGCCAGTATTTTTATTGTTAAATTTTAAAGTTTTTCAATCATTGTTTAGCACAGGCAAAATTTTCCAACCAGTGGGCTGCATGTGATATGGCTCATTATGAGATGGGCTGCGCTACTAAGAAAAAATTCAAGGTAATTTTTCACCGAAGATACCTCAGCCATTTTCATTACAGAAGGGCATATGTATAAGTGTCAGCCTTAGAAATGGGGAGAAAAGGTAATTTTATTTTATTTTATTTTTTTTTTTATTTTTTTATTTGGGGAGAAAATATTTTTCCATAATTAATTCTTTCTATAATATTAACACAAATGACAAGTGTGATTAGCACATGATGTTTCATGCGATTAATTTCTAATTTATTCATTGAAAATACAAAAGAGTTTTTTTTTCCAATAAAAAAAATATATTTTTGCTCCAGAGGAAAAAAATTATGAATGTTTGCTGTTTCCAAAGCAAAAGATATTTATACATCTGATCTTTAGTGAAAATCAACAATGGTTTAAAACAATGAAAACATTACCTTTACTAAAAGTGTAAAAATTCAAGAAACATTGCATTTAATCATTGTTTATGTATGAGACAGTGTGGGTGAACAAGTGAGAATGAAACAAAACAAACCAAATTTAAAGAAATATTTTCTTTGTAAAATTAGGTGTGCTATTCAGAAAGCCAAATGGGCTACAGTTTGCCCATGACTGGTTTAGCATCTTTCTAAGTAATCAGATTGTATTATGCATGTTAATGCTTTTGAAATAAAATTGATAGTTTGAATCCTTTATTGGCAAAATGAGAAATAGTCAATTCTACAGAAGACAAAAGAGTCTTGCTTTACATGAATTAGCTCTTTAACTTAGAACTTCTTGGTTGTGGTCTGTACCACTCCAAAAATATTTTCACAATAATTCTCTGCTTTTACCTTGACACTATCAACAATTTTCAAGGGACCTATAATTTTACTGTCTATATTCACCCCAACCTTTCCACCTCTACCTATTCCAACTTGTGTTCAATGGCTATTTTTATTTTTTTTATTTTTTTTGTTGACAGCCTCTAAACTAGCCACAAGTCCATCCAAGGTAGTTATACATTCATTACAAACAAATTGTTGAGAAATCACTTTTCATGTACTGCTTCATCTGCTTTACATGTTTCATTTTGATGTTTATTTAAAACTGGTAGTTTGCTTGCTTTCATGTCTTCAGCCAATATGCTTAATTTCATGAATAGGCTTATGGCAACATCATGTTGAAACAGTAGTTCCCATATGATCACCAAAGTTAAACAAGTTTAGTCTGGCCAGCACCTAGATGGGTGACTGCTTGGGAAAACCAGGTGCTGTAAGCTTGGATGTGCAGGTGGTGTAATGGATAATTTGGAATTCTTAGAGTGGTGTTCCAATTCCTGCTGGGTTTATGTTCACTTCTGTGCAAATACCCTGGGGAAAGGTATGAATCCACCTCTTGTCCCTCCAGCAATGTCTTAATTAGTAAGACTTGAATCATTAAAAAATAGAAAAATTATTACAATGTACAAATATTTTCTGGCTTTAAATAAACTGGAAAGGGTTGACTAGCCATAAAAAAATAGGTCAATCAATATTATGAATCTTTTTTCTGTTTACATTTTCAACACCAGCTTCTTCACATATATTTTTACTTTTTGCCCATTTAAATTTTTCTTAAATCTCTTTTTGTCACATTATTAAAGCCAATTTATTTCTTGTTCTTATCTTACCAATGTTTTGAATTTCTTTTTTAATTGTTCCGTGGTCTATGATAAATTCATATGTTCTTGTCATTCAATATCTTTACAAGATTTTTTTTTTGGAGGTTATGTCTTTATTGTGACTGATACTAATATTTGTATATCTGAAATCAAAGAACAAATATAAATAACAAGTAATACTATTATATATGTTTATTTACATGATGGACAACCCTTTAGTTGAATAATAAATTCTCACACCACCAAATATGTTACTGTAAATATTTCTAACAAAAACAGACATTATAAACTGTAATTAACATTCTCACAAGTATATGCTAAGTATTTGACCAAAATTATTTGGTAGATACCAATACAAAATTTAAGTACAATATCAGATTTGTAGGTAGGTCTCATTATTTTAAAGTTGAAATGGCTAGATGTAACCATAAGTTTTATGCTAACAGTTTCTTCTCTCACTTCTGATTCGTGGAATCTTCTGGATTCTTGTTTCCAGGTCAACTTTGATCTTCAAAAATTTAAATGCAATGTCAATCATTGTCTTTTTAATCCCTGTTCTTTTATTGTTCTTGCACCTTAATGTTTTTCATTTTCTCATATTTGATGTCAGATTATTTTCAAATACAGAACATATACATTTACAATGAGAATATAGTGGAAAAAGTGTATGGATTTTGTTCTTGAATGTTGGTTTTAAAAATAGAAAAGTACTCTAAATTGATTTTTTTTTTCCTTTATGGAAAAAATGTCAATAAATAGAATGTCTAAAATTTAATTAAATGTATCTACTGTGGTGGCATAAGAAAATACTTATTGCTTCTTTGCAAGGTGGAAAAATATACTTTATTTATAATTGACCAATTATTTTTTTCTAGATTTTGTTTTGCATATTTGTATTTAATGTATTTTGGTTTCCTCTCTCAAGCAAAAATATTGCAAATGCAAACTTTCAAACAGTTTGAAAGAAATGGCTAGTAACCACAACCATTTTAAATCAATTTTTAACCTCACTCCACTTTAAATCACTTTTACTGCAATTACTACTACATTTTGTTTTCTTTATGTTTGTTATTTTATGAATGCAATATTGCAAAAATATTTTAACATGGACTTGGAGAATAAATCAATTTCCAGTCCATTGAAGTCACTTGACAGAACAAAATGTTTTAAGGGAGATAACCCCAAATCTACTAACTGCTAATTACAGAATCATTTCCCTTGATCTGACTGCACATTTTTTTTGTCAGCCATAGTAATACTCTAATAATAATTAATGATAATTATGTTCATTGATAATTAGAGCTTGCAAATCTTTATTGTAAAATAGCTGATTCTCTGTCACACATTGTCTGCATGTAAATTTTCATGCACATATGTAATGCATATCTATATATATGTGTTGTACAGAAGTGATTTACATGTTCCTGTGCCATTTAATGTATGTACACACACACACACACACACACACGTATGCATATACACAACCTGACAGAGAATGAAATAAGATATTGAAATATATTCAACTCCAATTCAGTCTGGGTAATCCCTACCCAGGGCTGAGCAATAAAATCATGGATTTGGAGATTTAAGTTTTAAAAAATGATAAAATTAAAAAAATTTTGAACTTTTTGGAAATTATTCAGTAATAAATAGTTAATTTTAAAGATTTATTTTTTTTTTTAAATTTTGTAAAAATAATGTACATCTTTATCTTGAGGGATAATTTCCCTTTCTGTCTGGCAACAACCCTTGGGTAACATGAAATGTGTATAAGCTGAAATGGACAAATAATTTTGATGCAAAATTTGATCATCTTACCATCAGCAAAGTAACAGGGACCAAACTAGTAATAATATAAACTAGCTGAAAACCTGTTTTGCAAACATTTTTATTAATAAATTTTTTTGTAAGTAGGGGTGCACAAATTAAAACGTTTGAAATTGACAACTTTTTCCATTTATCTGAAACAGACATTAAACACGTTTATCGCCCCTTACTTTTTTTCTCTTTCATTTTCTCACAGAAACTTAAGTAACCGCTTTGATATATTAGTTCTATTTTTCACAGCTCAAAATGAAATAGTCCATTATTTATGGGATATTGGCAGGGCGTAACGGTTGTGCAAACTAAGGAACTTATTAACTAACGAAGAGAGGGAGGGACAAGTAGAATTATAATAGATTCTGTACATTGAAAGTGACTTCATATTATGTGGAAGCTGTCAAATGCAGTATTTAAGTGCATTAAAAGTGTTTAAATTTGTTTATTCTTCTTTCTGATGGAACCAAGTTTGTGTAGGTATTTATAAAACTTGAGTTTTATCTGACCAGAATAAAGGGCACTCAGTAAGTATCAAAATCACAAAACTCTTACTAAATAAATTTCATAACAAGCTTATGAATTACTTTCCTGTGGATGCCCAAACCAAAATTATGAATGTACAATCCAAACTTGAATTCCAGTTGAAACTGCATATATCACTTCTGCACTAATATCTTTGGAAAAGGCATGAAATTAACTCTTTCTGCATTCTGTCCCATTGCCAGTCATCTTGATTATGGCTGTCACTAATGCTTATAATGATAGGCATGAGTGTGAGAGTATCTCGGTAATCAGCTGAATGCTAAAAAAATAGCTGCTTTGTTAGTATTAACAAACAAGAACCTGTACAAAGCAAGCCTATCACTACAAACTTAAACAGGATAACAGAAATTACCTGCTAACAATATAACATTTCCCCATTACAAAGTTCATCCTCCTCCTTTTTATTATACCATCTCACACAGAGAATCTGATCTTCCTTTAGTTTGATTATTGGAATACTGTGTTGTGATCTCTCATATTTTATACACAGTGATTCCAATTTTGGGGGCTACTAGTGGGATCATCTTTCTTCTGCCAATGTGATGATGAGGGAATTAATGTAACTGGAGATACCTCTCTCCTACTTATCCTTACTTTTTTCTTTCTTGTTGCAAAGAAAACACTTACCTTTGCATAGTTGAATCAACAAAGAAAAATATGTTCTACATACAAGTTCTTAAGAATTTTTTGTTATTTTTCAGAGCATTTTCCCAGTTTCCAGTACATATCTAAATATAAATTGTCTAGTGTAAATGATAAAACAGAATCTTGATCAATAAACTGAGTGACAGCACTTCACCAGACAATAGAAATATACTCGGTGAGGAGAAATTTCAGTAAATTTAAGTAATGCCTAAAGACTAAATCCACTTTGGCAGGAAGGGAGACAAGCCTGCTACTGCCACTGCATAGAACACATCCATTAAGCCGAGAAGTGGGAATTAAATATCTTCAAAAATTTGTTAGCCAAGTATGATGGGTTCAGTCCAAGGTAGGACCACAAGAGTTAGCATAGTTCACAGTAAAAGATTTTTGTTTTTTGTGCTATGTCAGTTTCATTTTTTTTTTTTTTTTTTTTTTTCAGATATCATGTCTTCACGTGTCATGTCATTTTGCATTTTTATTTTTATTTATGAAATGTATTTAGTATATTTTGTTCCTATTTGATAAAATGTTATTGATGTCAGATGGTTTATCTGTTATGCTCAATTTTTCTAGTACTTGTAATCATTTTATGCAATATAAATTACCATATTAAATACCAAATTAAATAATATAAGTTACCACCGTAATTTAGCTTCCCTATAAATACTTTTATGGCAATTGTTCTGTCCAAATTTTAACTTTTTGTTAAAATGAACAAAATTTAAAGAGTATTTTATAATGTCTAATGGAGCTGAACATTATTTTTATGTTTAGATGCATTTAAACTGATCAAATTTTATTTCAGAGAACAATAAAAGTAAATTTTGTTTGATTAAAACCCTGCTAACATGGAAGTACCCAAGAATCATTTGAGGCACATAATGCTTTGAGTTCAAGAAAGGAAACTCAGCAGCCAAAGCGGCTAGAAACATTCACTCAGTTTATGGAGAGGAATGTGTGAATGAAAGAACTTGCAGAAGATGGTTTGCAAAATTCAGAGGTGGAGATTTCACCCTTGAAGATGAAGATCGAACCGGACGTTCAGTTGAGTTTGATGAAAAGCTTCTTGAAGCAGCCCTTGAAGAAAATCCTGCTTTATCAGTTGAGGAATTGGCAGTGATTCTTAGTTCAAACAATTAATGCTCAATTATACTGTCAGCAATTAGAGTGTTTGAACCAAGCTTTGAGGGGGAAAAAAGACCTGCTCTAGTGAATCGAAAAGAGGTGATGTTTCATCAGGACAATGCGCGACCACACACAGCAAGAATCACGTCACAAAAAATCGAAGAACTTGGTTGGGAGAAAATTCCTCATCCACCTTATTCTCCTGATCTTGCTCCTTCAGACTACCATTTGTTTTGTAGCTTACAGAATCATTTGGAAGAAACAGCTTTTGTAACACAGGAAGAGGTTAAAACTGACATTTGTAAGTTCTTCGAATCGAAGCCAAAAGAATTTTACAGTAATGGAATTAGTAAGCTTGTTAATAGATGGAAGGAAGTCATAGATAATGAGGGAAAATACATTGTTGATTGAATCTGTAATTAAATGTAACATTTGGTCACATGTTTTCTTTATTCAAAATTCAGACAGAACTTATGGGATGAC